GGAAGGTGGATCTCAAATTCTTATCACATCTATTTTATAGGGTGTGCACAAGCATACCGAAGTCAGGTCAATCAGTTCTCTCCCACTATAAAGGTCCCAGGGATCAACTCTAGGCCATCAAGCTTGGTGCCAAATGCCTTTGCTTGCTGAGCCATCTCTCCAGGCCTCACCATAATTTGAAGCTGGCCAAGGCTGCAAGAAACAATATCAAACCTCAGAAAGTCTCAGACAGGAGATGGTTCAGTGGTTAAGAGTGCTTGCTGTTCTTGCTGAGGACCTGTTTGGTTTCCAACACCAACACTTAGTGGCTCACAGCAGCCTTGTAACTCCAGTTCTAAGCCACCTTCTTCAGGTCTATGTGGTATCTGCACTCATGTGCACATACCCACAAATACAAACACACAGGAGATGGCTCCATGGCTAAGAGCACTTGCTGTTCTTGCAAGAGGTTTCAGTTCCCAGCACCTAACAACCCTCCGTAACTCCAGTTCCAGGGACCTGATGCTGCCCTCTGGACTCCAAGCACGCGGTACACTTAAAACCACTCACACTTAATGTCCATGACATTATTCACAAAAGACATGGCCTCAGACTTAAAATAACCTTCAAGTCAGGTGTGGTGGTACAAACTTGTGATCCCAGCTACTTGAGAGGCTGAGGCAAAAAGATCATGAACTCATATCTAGCCTGGTCTACCTTGTCTCAAAACACTAAGGAGTCAGTGGTGTATCTCAGTGCATGGCTTATAATGTGCAAGTTCCTGGGTTGGATCCTCAGCACTACTGACTTTATCGGGGGAGCCTATTATTTAAAACCTATTATAGGAGCTGGAGAGATGGCTCAGTGGTTGAGAACACTGGTTCGAATCTCAGCACCCACATGGCAGCTGTCCGAGAAGCTCCAGTTCCAGGGGATCCAACAGCCCCTTCTGTCCTCCATGGGCATTGCAGGACATGGGTACACTTCCCTACACACAGGCAATACACACATACACATAAAATAAAAATATTTAAAACGTATTATGAGCTGGGCATGGTGGCCCACACCTTTAATTCCAATACTTGGGAGGCAGAGGCAGGCGGGTCTCCAAGAGTTCCAAATAAGCCTGGTCTACATGGTAAGTTTGGGCCAGCTAGAACTACAGGGAGACCCTGTCTTAAACACTAAAAAATATTATCAACATGGAAGGCAACTTGTTGAGTAAAATTAGTGGACCACAATAAAGTTAAGTTTTGCCTGGTTTATACCATGGTCTTTGACCTTATTTAAAGATATCATGGTGCTAGGCATGGTGGCACACACCTTTAATCTCAGCACTACATAGTGAGACTCTGTCTCAAAAAAACAAAGATGCAATGGTAATATAAATCCAGAATTTATGGAACCTAGCTACTAGATGTTGGTTTAAGACCCCATGATAACCAAAGTGTAACTCATGAAGCTAGAATTCCTTCTTACCAAGACACCAATTTATAGTGATTTTCCTAGTTTGTCTCCTTTAAGATTTAACCCATTGGGAAAGGAAAGAACACCCTATCAAATGTGCAGACTTGGAAAACCAAACTGACTTCATCACCCAACTAATTCCCTTTTTCTTTAACAGTTGTGCTGAAATAAAGTGTAATTAACACTGTAGAGTCTAGTAGCTGGGTTCCATAAATTCTCGATTTTAATGCCAGCATGCTGATACTGTACTCCTTTACCAAATGGTTTTTCATGGGCCATGCTTTTACTATAACAAACTCTTACTGACACTCCAGTATCAGTAGAACATAAATATTAAATAGGGTTAGGAATATATAGCTCAGTTGTTTGCTTCACCCACAAAGCCTTGATTTCAATAACCAGCACCACCCCCAAATAAAAAAACAACAGCTTATTAAAAAATGTTTATTTGGCGTGGTGGCACACACCTTTAATCCCAGCACTCGGGAGGCAGAAGCAGGTGGATCTCTGAGTTCAAGGCCAGCCTGGTCTACACAGTGAGTTCCAGGACAGCTGGGGCTACAGGGAGACCCTGTCTCAAAAAGATAAAAAAAAACGTTTATTTGGAATGCCAAATATATACTGCATATAATTCTCACCTTCCACAGGCTCTAGGGAAGTTCCTCATAATCAAACATTAACTTTTCCAGTGAGCCTTATAATTATAATCAGGGTAAGTGGGTAATGATTATGAAAAACCTCAATGAGGTCTTACCATTTTTTCTTGCCATCAAATCAGGAAGTAGTAGTTTCATTATCTTTGTGAACCCTGAGAATAAGGGATAGCCGTCTAGGTCAGCTGAAGGGGCAAGGAATGCAGCTGGGGAGTAGGAGGCTTCTTTTTGATAAAAAGACAAGCATGAGACAGTGGCTGTCAATGTTTTTGCATACCTTAAGTGTTCATAGACCTCACTTTCATTCAACACCCTTGAAAAGATAGTAGCATTCTACATGCCTTATAATCCAGGTAGTCACATTTATTAGGGACCTGGATCATTTTAAACATTTTACATTTAATGTTCCCAAACCATCTAGCAACAGGGCCTTAAATGGTGAATTTGGGGACTGGGCATATAGCTCAGTTGGTAGAATGCTGCTGGTCTAGCATTCAAATCCTGGTTCAATCCCCAGCACTGCATAAACCCAGAATGATGGCAAACAGCAGAAGACGGGAGAATCATTAGTTCAATGTCATCATCAATGATACTCAAGGACAACTTAGATTACACAAGCTCCTACTTCAAAAAGTGATTTCTAGTGGCTGGAAAGACAGCTCAGAGATTAAGAGCACCAGCTACTCTTGCAGAGGATCTGGGTTCAGTTCCCAACACCCACATGGTGGCTAACAACCATCCTTAACCCCAGTTCCAGGGGAAGTCTTCTGACTTCCACAGACATCACAACATGGGTGCACTTACATACATGTAGGCAATACACTTAGACGACTTGGTGTTAAGGAGCACTAGCTGTTTTTGCAGAAGACGTGGGTTCAAACTCCAGCACCCACATGGTGGCTAACAACTATCTTTAACTCCAGCTCCAGAGGATCTGACACCCTCTTTCTTCTGTGGGCATTGTTGAACACAGGAGCACTAATATGCTCATGCAGGACTAACACTCATACACATAAAATTAAAAATTTTTTAAAAGTGATTTCTGGGGCTGGAGAGATGGCTCAATGGTTGAGAGCACTGGTTGTTCTTACGGAAGACCTGGATTTGAGTCCTAGCATCCACATGGTGGCTAACAACTGTCCATAACTCCAGCTCCAGGGGATCTGATGCCCTCTCCTATCCTTCACAGGTACTGCACAAAATGGGTGCACTCACACACGCAAGCAATACACTCATACACATATAAAAATTAAAGTGATTTCTACCCAAGTTGGGTAGTAGAGGCAAAGCTTTCAGTGGGCTCTTTGGAAAATTTGTGTATTAGTTGATATACTAGGCACACCAAAACAGGAGAATAAGAAGCACTTTCAAAGATATTTTGGTTGTTCTGGGTTCAATCTTTTAACACTGGGGGTTTGAGAAGCTTTGAGCCCCAAAACTGGGCTTTTATCAGAGGCTATGGTACCATAAAAAACTGAAGTGCAGGCTGGGCGTGGTGGCGCACGCCTTTAATCCCAGCACTCAGGAGGCAGGACTGATCTGAGATGGAGGGCAGCTCGGTCTCCATGGTGAGTCCAGTCCAGCTATGACTACAGGGAAGCCCCAACACTTAGAGGACAGGCTTCCCACAGCAAAATTCTTACACTACAGCTCCTGATCTCTGGAAAGCAGAGATTTATTAAAGTCACATAAATCTAAAGGGCTATTTTATGGTCCGTATGGATTAGTTATACCTCTGCTAATCATCTTATGGTTGCTTATGAAATCCTATTTCAGGCAACACTGGGGTAAGAAGTTTATTCCCCATTCCAACCCCCCAGTTACAAGGCAGCATGTGGTTCTGCCTTCTCCCACCACCTTAGCTCCCCAAAGGCCCAGCAAAGAATGCTTCCTCAGACCAAGTACCCACCTGGTGGGGTTAGCCACAATGCCCCATAAGCTGGGCTTGGCTCAGTGGGTGAGGCAGAATTCTGGCAAGTTCCTGAGTCTTCATCCACCTGCCAAAGCAAATTCATGACCATTTGGATAGGAGAAAGGGTCCTTGGGGCCTGTCCATGCTAGTTGGGAGACCTAGGAGACAGGCTTCCAGGATTGATGACATAGGTGTCAATGCCCCAAAAATGAATAAAAGTTTAATTATGTGGTATTTGGCTCAGTAATGGCCAAACCAGGGACAAAACTCATTTTTCACTCTAAGCTGGAATTAAGAGGAATAACACCCATGGCACCCAATAAATAGCCACTAGAACCATGATTAAAGTTAGAGGCGGTACTAAATAGCTGGAGATACATGTAAGAAGGTAAATATCTGTCCTAGGTGGACTGCTAAACCCCATCATTTCAAGGAAAAATGGCACTATTTATGATAGCATTTAGGGCTCCTGTCATGAGATTAAGGTGCTTTTATGCTCTCAGAATAATCTTGCTCAGAGAATTCCAGGAGAGTCAAACTCAAATAAGACACTGATTAGTCTAAAGGACCAAAGAAAGCACTTCAGAAAACCCAATTCCAGGGTCTGGAGAGATGGCTCAGCAGAAGACCAGGATTCAGTTCCTGGAACCCACATGGTGGCTTACAACCATTTACTACTCCTGTTCCAGGGGACCCGGTGCCCACTTTTGACCTCCGCAGGGACTGCACATAATGCAGGCAATATACTCATACACATAAACCCAATTCCAGTCACAAAGGAACTGATTTAACCTGCACCATACTGTGTATCTCAATGTATATCCGTAAACCAATCCCAAACTTTACCAGACTGCAATTTGGGTGTCTTGATCTTTGCGCCAGTCCCTGCCAATCCCACTTAATCTCCTCCAAGGTTCCCTCTTCCTGACTTGTGTCTATTTTTAATTTGTGAAATGGGTTGAATAAGGAAAAACCATTATCAGGATCAATTTGTATTCAGGTTTCATCTTTTTAATTAGCTCCGTGAAGGACATCCTAAACACTACATGAGACACAACAGAATATTTTTTCTTCCAGTATTAAAAAAATGACATTCACAAACATTTTAAAGTTCTTCTATATAACCCGGGTGGTGATCTTGAATAGAAAACATCTGTAAGTAATTTTCTGGATACAGATTGCTTATAGGTACATTCAGAAATTACTTTCTGGCCATAATAAACATCGTGTACAAGTTTTAAAAATGTCTCTAGATACATGTTAATTAAAAAAAAACACCAGTCTGGCCACACTTTTTTTCCAGACATAATAATCCTGAGAACCCAACAAAAATTCTGGTAAAAGGATAAATATTGGGACTCTGCAAATGTCTCAGAATTTGTCTTTCAATGGGAAAAAAACGTTTTCAAGAACACATGGAGCTTTCTAAAAGGTCTTTAACAAGCTACCTTGGGAGCTCAATTCAAAAATAGAACTTGATGTACTAAAACAGATGTTTCAGCGCAGCTCCATTTATAAATACAGCAATTTGGAAGGACGATCCTGGATCAGAAGTGTTATTCCTTGTGTATCTGAGAATAGTAAGAAGGGGTAGAATTATGATGTCAAGAACAAACACACTGACAACATGCTCACCTCCCAGAGTTGGTAAAGATGCTGAGGGTTGGACAGTACAAACACCTTTATTTCCACCATGCCCCACAGCAGTGGATTACAAGAGATGAATTTTTAGAACCTCCCCCAAGCAGACTAACTGGCCCTGACATGCATCTGAAAGCAAGAGAAGCCAACAAGTAGTATACATATGGTAGGCTGGCAGGGTAGGATATGAAAGCAGCAGAAACATAGGGCAGCATGGGCAGAAGAAAAGATGTAAGGACAGGGTCTGATGAGCACAGGTTGACTTGGCTCTGACAATCAAACCTCACCTACATTGTGTGCAGGCCTCATCTCAGTTGTCATAATTGTCTCTGTAATTCCCTCCTGAGTAGCGGTCATAACCACCCTGGCTTCTGGGAAAAAGCGTAACTGTTTTACAAGAACATACTCTACATGGCAGACAGAAACATTAAAAACAGCATGCAAGCCAGGCATGGTGGTTACACGCCTTTAATCCTAGCACTCGGGAGGAAGAGGCGAGGCCAGTCTGGTCTATGCGGCAATTTTCAGGCCAGCTTGGGATACAGGGAATCCCTGTCTCAAAAAAAACAAAACAAAACAAAACAAAAAACTGTACATATCAAATTTCCTATCATGAACATGACCCTAATTCTTTTTCAGTGGGGTTGGGAATTAAATCCAGGGCTTCGCATATGCTAGGCAAGGGCTCTCTATCTTTTATAGATTTAAGCCACACTATACGAACTTTTTAACATGTATATACAGAGCACATGAAATACATGATACTATATAGAAAACCCAACTTTTTTTTAGCATAAGAAAGGTATGAATGCTAGGCTATGTTCTCAAGAGTAGCAGTACCAGAGTATCCCAATCTCTCAGTACCCACCTGCCACCATAGTCTCTGGACCGTCCATATCCATACCCATATCCTCCAGGTCGACTGTCATATCTGCCACTTCCATAGCCCTGGTCCCCACCACCTACAGCAGAGAAATAGTTAAACAGCAGTTTCTAGACACAGGGGACTAAGTGGCTCTCTCCTCCCTCCCTGTACAACAAAACTTACCTCTAGAGTAGCTGCGACCACGCCCATGGGCCCCAAAGGCACCACCTCTGGTACCCCTGGCAGACTTGCCTGCATGGTCCACACGGATCTGGCGCCCATCCAGGGACTAGGTGTGGGAAGGAGACACAAGGAGGACGGGTTGGCAGTCAGCCAGCATAGTGGTGAGGGGAAGAATGGGCACAGGCAGGTGGGCAAGAGCCCAGAAATTCCTGCTGGGCACCAGGTTCTGGGTGCCATGTTCCAGAACAAGCTCCTTTGACCAGAATGGCTTCACCAGGAGCTACAGAATCCCACAAATGACCTGAGTCCACCGTGTTCCCCTGCTACTACTTACATCTTGACTGAACTCAGGCTGAGTTCTCCTCCCCACTCCTCTAAGCTGCCCGACTATTAGGGCTAGACACCTCTCTCGGTTTGAGGCTTCAGAGTCCATCCCAGAAGACTCACGAGGTCCTCTCCGGGCCAGGCCCACAGGTCTGCAGACTCTACTACCTAAGCCCAGGGCAGGTCAACCATCCACAGGTGGCTTCTCGGCCTCATGCAGGACCAGTCGTCGCCTCCCAGGCAGCACGGCTCTGTCTGCCGCTGCCCTCCACCCCCTAGAACAGAAGGCAGTCATGCTCCTGTGAGTGGACACTGCGGGGCTTCATGGCCACGCTGCCCCTGGCAGACACAGAGGGAAAACAGAAAGATCGGAGAAAGTGGTAGATGGGGAGAGAGCCCCTCTGCAGGCAAGAAGCCTCACCTCTCCATTCATGGCTCTCATGGCATCTGAGGCATGCTCTGGGTTGGTGAAGGTAATGAAGCCAAAACCCCGGGATCGCTGAGTCTCCCGGTCCTTGACAACAACCACTAGAAAAAAAAAAAAACCCCACAAGAAATGGAGAAATGTATACTGCTCAGTAACCTAAAGTGTAAGTGCAAATAGGAAGTCTAAAAAGGGAGCCAGAAAACAGAATAACCATGTACAATGGCACACATGTAAAAACCTTTAATACTTGGGAGAATGCACTTCCATCAATACTGTATCCCACTGGATTTTTCTCAGCCTGACTATACCTCAGAAACAAAGGAAATTACCGAAAATTTTAGGCTTGAATCCCTGACTTACTGTTCGTTTCAGTGAATGGGAGGCATTCAAGGGTCCCAGATTCACTTCTAAAAAAATGTTTTTAGCTGGGTGTGGTGGTACACACCTTTAATTCCAGCACTCGGGAGGCAGAGGCAACCTCTGTGAGTTCGACACCAACCTGGTCTACACAGTGAGTTCCAGGCCAGCCAGCTAGAACTAGAGGGAGACCCTGTCTCAAAAAAAATCTTCTAGTTATTTTATGTGTATGTGTGCTATATTTGCATGTAAGTAAACCACTGTCATAGAATGCCCACAGAGGGCAGAAGAGGATGTTGGATCCCCTGGAACCGGATCCACGTGGTGAAGGTATTTGAAGCCAGGTCCTCTTTAAGAGCACTCTGTGCTTAACCGCTGCGCCATCTCTCCAGCCCCTAGATTCACTCAATATCGCTCCCAGCCTGCCATAGACTGGACAATGGCTCACCCTCAGAAATAGGCCCAAAGCTGCTGAAGTGGTCTTCAAGTGCCTGCTCATCAGTGTTGAAGTTGAGCCCTCCCACAAAGAGCTTTCCTTCTTCTGAAGACATGGCTGAAAATTCAAGTTCTGTAGGGACAGAGTATGTGGAACGTTGGCTCAACAGTGGTTGTGGGAGATATCAAATGTGAGAAATACTGGGAAACACAGAAAATAGACACGAGAAATAAAATCACGTGGGGGGGGCAGATTGAAAAAGCGGGAACAGGCAGGCCAGAATCAGCAGGGCCACCACCGCGCATGCTCACAATATCCCGTGCCACCACGCCCGTCATTTTGTAGAGCGGCTCAGGCCTACAATAGCCTTGCGTTTCCTCTCTCGCCGCAGAACAAGATGGCGGCGGTCACGTGGGCAACCGGGCAGCAGGTATCGGCCGTCCCGTGGTCACTGCCACCACCCAGACTGCCGGACCCTGCAGGCATTCCTTGCACTCAGAAGCTGCGCACCAGCCTCCCAATTGAGACAATTTCCCTTCGAGCACGGGACCCATCCGCTTCGGAGCAACCCAAGCCAACGTGTTAGCGGCCGTTCCTCTCCCCACTCTAGGCTCCCGCCCCACGTCGGCAAAGGAGTAAGAAGAGGGACAGCCGCCGCGCAAGGGGAGAGCGCTGCTTACCCGGAAATCAAGAATCCCAATAGCCGGAGGAACAGCAGGCTTTAAGGAGCAGGGAGAACAGGGAGGCTGCCTCCCGGGAAGACGCCTGATAAAGCCTACGTAAAAGACACGTCACAGAACGTCCCCCAGCAGACGCCGGCGTGCCTGCTCATTGGCTGAGGTTAGCGGTGGCGGGGGGGAGTGTGGAGGGAGAGGAAGGGATGGCACAGTAGAGGGAGCAATTTGCCTGCGCGGTTCTGGAAATAAATGGGATCTTTATGAGATTGGTACACCCTAATGTAAGCATCTCCCTCTTAGCTGAGAGCCTGGCCTCCTATGTACAGACCGTCTTGTTCTTATAGCCTTTTCCTCCCTGATGTCATTTTCACAGCTTTTGACTCCCATTTCTCCCGTTGCATAGGAAATCCTCACTAGCAGTAGATCCGTACCAATGTAACTATCATCCTCAGAAGTCAATCTTCTTTACTTTCTAGTCCTCTAACCTTATATCCCTGATGTTTTATCCTTTCATACTTCCCAGATCATCACCCTTCAGAGTCCTTGATGACAGACCCCCACATGTCTGAGTGCATGACCCTTACCCCTTTATCTTTGTGCCCAGCATCTAACTGTGTGGTACAGAACTCTCTCCCTAGTGTTACTCTTCTCACCTCTGTCAGCTCTTATCCTTATCTGATTGTTATCTTAAGCCTGAGCTACCTTCTGCAAAGCAGGTTGTAATCCTGTTTTCAAAGGTTTTAAAATCCTAATCCACAGAATGAATTTTGCTATTCAGGGTAATTGAGCTCTTGATCCACAGAATGGACTTTCAACACTTCACAATGAAACCGAGAACAAGTAGCATGGGAGCCCACTGCCTACAGTTTGTTCTTTCACATTCTTCCATATCTAATGCTAACTTGTTTGCCTTCGGAGTATACATTTATCACCCATAGAAGAATTTGTCCAACTTTATAGAGGCCTGACCCATCAGCCCCAACACAAACAGATTTGTCAACCTTCAGATGCTCCTTATCTATGTGCCTCAGGCCAATACCCATATTTCTCTTATTTTCAGCGATTCCTCCCAGCTTAATTATTAATCCTTTTTCCCCACTCTCATATTTTTGTTACTAAATGTGTAAACAGTGTCTTTAGTTAAATACATTTGTTTTTGATCTAATCACTTTTCCTCTTATGCTTTATACTTTTCTTTGAGACAGGGTCTCACTGTGTGGCTCAGGCTAGCCTGGAACTCATAAACCTTCTGCGTCAGCCTCCCCAGTACTGTGATTATTACAACCACTTGGTCTGTACTTTTAAATAAATCTCTTTTCCCTAAGTTCCAAAGATACTCTCCTATAGCTTATTCTATTAACTTTGTAGTCTCGCTTTTAGTTTAAGGTCCTTAATCCTTGTATATAGTATGAGAAAAATGACTATCTGGGGATTTAGCTTAGTGGTAAAGTGCTTTCCTAGCATATGCAAGTCCCTCAATTTTACTCCAGCAGAGGGAGGAAGGGGAGAAAGAGAGAGAGAGAGAGAGAGAGAACACACACACACACACACACACGGGGGGAGAGAGAGAGAGAGAGAGGAGAGAGAGGAGAGAGAGAGAGAGGGAGAGGAGAGTTATGTTTGTTTTTACCATGTCATGGAGCCACATGACCCATCACCATCTATCATGAAACTAAGGCAGGAAGATTGTGAATTTGAGGCTATATAGCAAGTTCCATGCCACTTTGAGCTATGTATTGAGACCTTGTATTAGAATAAGCAAACAAGCCAGGCATGGTGACACACGTGTTTAGTCCCAGCACTTGGGAGGCAGAGGCAGGCGGAGCTCTGTGAGTTCAAGGCCAGCCTGGTTTACATAGTGAGTTCCAGGCCAGCTGGGACTACAGGGAGACCCTGCCTCAAAAAGACCAAAAAAAAAAGAAGAAAGAAAGAAAGAAAGAAAGAAAGAAAGAAAGAAGGAAAGAAAGAGAGAAAAGCCAAACAAAAAAGAACTTGAACTCGATTCCCTTCTCCCTTGACTGCACTTAGTGGCTCAGCATAGAGCGAAGCATAGATGTGATAGTTTGTCACATGCAAGACTGGGTCATAAAAGGCACTTTGGTTTTCTGTTATCTCATGCAGAGATTGAGTTCTCAGTGGGATGTTTGCTGGTATGTCACAAGCAGTCCTATGGGGGACCAGGTGGCAAGGAACTGAGGTCTCCTGCCAACAACTATGTGAACAAGACTTGTTAGAAGTGGATCCAAGCCTTCAGATAACTGCAGTCTAGGCTGACATCCCAATAGTAGCCCTATGAACAGTATAAGTCAAAAGCACCTAGCTTATCCAATCCCAGAATCCTGACCTTCCAAAAACATGGAAAATTTCGATTGCTTTGTCTGTTTTGTCTTGATCCCTCTGCCATAGACTCCCAAGTGCCAAAACTATGTGCAAACATCATCATGCCTGGCTGTGTTTATTTTTTAAAATATTTTATTTATTCTTTTTATTTTATGTGTATGCGTGTATTGCCTGCATGTAGGTACGTGCACCTGTGTTGTGCAATGCCCTTGGAGGACAGAAGAGGCTGTCGGATCCCCTGGAACTGGAGTTAAATGTGTTTATTATTTTAAGCCAATAAATTTTGCAGTAAGTTGTTACCGATAACTAATATACCACCAAAATCTTCCCAGCAAAGAGCATAAAGTATCTTTCTTTTATTCACATCTATTTATATTGAGTTAAATTTGTTTGAGATAGAGTCTCATTATGTATATCAGGCTGGCCCGGAACTCACTACATAGCCCAGGCTAGCCTCAAACTCTCCATCTCCCTGCCTGGTATTACAGATGTGCATTTCATGCCCAGCTCTTTTTATTTTTTGAAATGGGATCTCACTAAGTTGTCTTGGGTGGCCTCAAACTGTTGGACTAAAATGATCCTGCCTTAGCCTCTGGAGAGCTGGGACTACAGGTCATTGTGGATCTTAATTCTTTTTGGAAGGGAAAAGGGGTTGGGGCAGGATCTCACTATGTAGCCCTAGCTGGCCTGAAACTCACTATGTAGACTAGGCTAGTCTCAAACTCACAGAGATCCACCTGCCTCTGCCTCCTGAGTACTGGGACTAAATGTGTGTACCACCATGCCTAACCCATTTTTTTTTCTTGAAATTGGGTCTCACAGTATAACTGTGACTGGAACTTTCTATGTATACCAGGCTCGCCTTGAACTCAGAGAGATCCATCTGCCTCTACTTTCCAAGTGCTGAGATTAAAGGCATGTGCCACCATGCCACACCTGGCTTTTGCTTTTTTTTTTTTTTTTTTTTTTTTTGAGACAGGGTCCCATGTAGCTCAGGCTGGCCTCAAACTCATGGTGATCACTGCCTCAGCCTTGCAAGAACTGGAATTACAGACCTGAGCCACCAAACCTGGTCCAACTTCTTGAGTTGAATGCTTAGATCTTAGATCTAGATTTTTTCTTTCTTCTCTCATAGGTCTTGCTATGTAACGCTGGCTGGCCTGGAACTCATTATAGCCCAGGTTGTTCTCGAAGTCACAACAATCTTGTCTCAGTTTCCTGAGAGCTAAGATTATAGGTATGAGCTAGCATGCCTGGCTTTTTTTTGTGTGTGTTATTGAGGCAGGGTCTCCCTATAGCCCCAGTTGGCCTGGAACTTGCTATGTAGACCAGGCTGGCCTTGAACTCACAGAGCTCCACCTGCCTCTGTCTCCCTAATGCTAGGATTAAAGGCACCACCATGCCAGGTCTCTCTTTTCATTTGTGATGTCTTTAAAGCTATATTTTTTCTTCTATTAATCAACTTTGCTTTGTTCCACAAATTTTGTATGGTTTTTTTTTTTTTGTCTTTTTGAAGCAGGGTCTCCCTGTAGCCCCAGCTGTCCTGGAACTCACTATGTAGACCAGGCTGGCCTTGAACTCACAGAGATCCACCTGCCTCTGCCTCCCGAGTGCTGAGAGTACAGGTGTGTGCCACCACACCCAGCTTTGTATGTTATTTTTATAATTTATATTTTATGTGTATGAGTGTTTTGCCTACATGTATGCATGTGCACCATGTGTGCAATGCTGGCAGAGGCCAAATAAAGGACATTAGATCCCCTGGAACTGGAGTTAAGGACAGTTATTAGCTGCCATGTGGGTTCTGGGAATCAAATCCAGGTCATCTGCAAGAGCAGCCAGTGCTCTTAACCACTGAGCCATCTCTCCAGCCCCTCAGTATTTTTATGTGCATGAATGTTTTGCCTGCATACATGTAAGTGTACTGTGCACGCAATGCCTGTGGAGACCAGAAAAGGGCATCAGATTCCCTGGAACTGGAGTTAAGGACAGTTGTTAAATGCAATGTGGGCCCTGGGGGACCAAACCCTGGTCCTCTGGAAGAACAGCAAGTGCTCATAACTGCTGAGCCATCTCTCTAGCCCCTCATTGGTATTTTAAATATTTCTTCTTTCATCCAAGGGTTAGCTTCTCAAAATTAGGGTTGTTTTAGCTTCCCAGTTAGGCCAGAGAATGTATGGAACTTCACTGAAAGACTTTAGGTACTAAGAATGGAAACCTCTTGCCAATAGGCCATGTTGGACGTGGGTACATCAGTCAGGTCACACCTCCTGCTGACTGTAGTTCTGGCTGACAACTTGACTGAAACTTTAGTAGCAACCTCGAGTCAGGGCATGGTGGTGCATGCCTTTAGTTCCAGCACTTGGGAGGCAGAGGCAGGCGGATCTCTGTGAGTTCAAGGCCAGCCTGGTCTACATAGTGAGTTCCAGGCGAGCTGGAGCTACAGGGAGACTGTCTCAAAAGACCCCCCCCCACATACACACACAAAAAACCCCACCCAGTTAAGGTAGCTCCCAGGTTCCTGACTTTTGGGAACTACAAGATAAATCCCCTTTGAGATGCTTGGTTTGGGAGTAACTTGTTATAGTCATAAATAGTAGATACAGCCAGGCTAATTTTTTCCACAGTAGTTTCACTGCCGCATCATCTAATTATTTTGGTGATGAGCTCATATTGAACAGAAGTTGCCTGCTACTTTAGCTAGTAGGATGCATTATGGAATGCTGAGACCAAACTCCTCTCTATTCACTTTTCTGGAGTTTGAGGGATAAAGAGAAGTGTGAGGGTTGGGCCAGTAGTACTTATCACTCACTCTTGCTCTTACAAAGCCCTTGTAAGGAGCCACTGTCAAAACCTCAGAGGAAAGCCACTTTAAGAGGAGGTAGTCTCCCTCAGAGTAACATAGCATCCAGAACACTGATGGTCTCTACCTGCCCAGGATAGTTTCTGCCTTTGCACTATTCCTCTAGGCACCTATACTTGGGGTTTGGGTGATTTCTTTCAGTGAGGGAGAACAGCAGACATTTTCCCAAGGCAACATGGGGAAAAGATCAGAGGCATAATAATTTGCATTTCCATTTCTCTAACCTGGGCTGTATTTGCTGCCTCCAGCCATCTAGCTCTCAAAACACATACCACCAGTTCAAGGCAGCCTTTTCTTTTCTCATGGGTCTCAGAGCTGTGCTGTAGTTTCCAGAACCTATGTTTTCTTTTTAAAATCAGATTTAATTAATTTTAGTATGTGGGTGCATTGGAGGTTAGAGGACAACTTACGAGGGTCAGTTCTTTCCTTCCACCATGTAGGTTCTAAGAATTGAATTCAGGTTGTCAGGCTTGGCAGCAAGCACCTTTACCCACCAAGGCATCTCACCAGCCCTAGAACCCACGTGTTCCTCTATGGTTTCTCCAGTGATGGGCTTCAGCCTCTCACATTATTTGCCATCTTGGCAGGGACCAAAAGACCCAAATATTCTAGAGTAATTATAGAGTGCATCTGAGCCTCCTGTTCACAAGAGGATTCATTAATACTCAAGGTCCCAAGCTACCATACACAGAATGGACTTGTCTGGCCCTTTAAATATCAAAACTCATTAATTACAGACCACACCCCATAATCAGCTGGTTACTGACAAAAGGAACACTTGAGGTCTCCAGAAAGCCCTTACAACTCCATATTATGGATGATCTCTATGGAGTCCAAGCCCCTCATTCATAGTATGCACTTGGTAGACCTACAGTGTCTGAACATCTTCGACAATCTTGTGTCCTATCTAGTCTTGTCCTGCTCTTCAAGTGACTAATACCTCTCCTCTAATACTGGGGGATGATGGGACTCTTTAAAGGGTCACCTTCAGTTTTACATGGCAATCTGAGGGGAGGCAGATGAAAAGATATCTGCTCTGATGCCCCCTCATCTCTAGCAGCAATATACAGTACAATAACCTCAAGCCAGACCTGACTGACTAGCTAGGTCATGACTTAGGGACCCCAGTTGACACATCCATTATTTGCCATATCCTTAGTACAGGACAGTTCCCAGACTGTGTGAGGAAACTCCACCTTCAGAGAAGATAAGCCGGGGAATGTGTCTACCTTTTTCCGCCCCCTTTGGAATCTCACTATGTAGCCCAGGCTAACTTCAAACTTGTGATTCTCTTGCATTGGCCTCCCAAGTAGCTTGGAATCTAGGTGTATCCTGGTCAAGGACCTAATTTTGATTATTATCTTCCAAGAAAGTGAACTCTTTCAGGGCCAAAGTTTTATCAGTGCTTGATTTCTTTTTTCCATATAAGTGGCAGAAAGTAAATGGTTGCTATCGCTAAAATTGTTAAGCTAAGTATCCATCAACTGGAAACCCAGTTTATGGCCCTAAGCATAGCATATTCCATCTCAAGCTGGCTCTGAAGCAAGTAATGTGATAGTATTTTGCTTAGGACTGCCAGCAACATCATGCATTGATGAGACTCACAGAGAAGGGTATAGATCCTAGACATGTTGATGTGTGGTAGCCGAGGGGTGTCTACCCTATGTTTACTAAGTAGACCATGAATTCCCAGTCTTTGTATTAAATCTTGTCCTTCTTTTGAGCTAGAAACTTTTTTCCTCTTTCTGCCTGTCCTGAAGTGACATTTACAGCTATCATGCAGACCTTTACATTACAGGCAGACAAACGTACCAAAAACAAATTTAGGCTTTTCTAGGGCAGTCATGGGTCTGAGCTCACCTTCTATAACTGATTTTCAGCAGTCACTCTTCCTGCTGCTGAGAAAGCAGGAGCCACCCTACACCAGCTGAAGTATTTCAGTCCTGTCAGCTAAAGCGCCCACAGTGGCTTCATCTTATAACATCCAGGAGGCAGATAAATACACAGACCACAGTGACCTTTGTGTGTGCAAAGAACAGTTTAGAAACAACACACATACACACTCACACTCACACACAAAAACAAAACAGAAAAGAGGCTGCAGTCTCCATGGGACAGTGCTAAGGCTGAGCCACACACTCAAACCTGGGAGAAAGGACCCCAGGTTCCAACATTCTAGGGATTTCAGGCAGGGAGTGATGGCTCATGTGTGGGCTCTCATGACAAAGAATGGGCTTGGAGGGATGGAAGGACACAATTAAGATGGAGCTGTGGCCTCAGCCCCCTCCTCCGAGTCCCACACTTCAGACTGCAGGTAATCAGCGAAGAGAGCCTTGGCCCTACGCAAGACTCGCCCGAGGTGGTGTTTACGCACTAGGCGGTCAAAGTGCATGGCCAGCTCATTGTAATCTAGGCTGTTCCGCATGATATGGTCACGGTGTTCCAGCAGGATGGCCAGGCAGAGAAAGAGCATGAATGGGTTCCCTCGGCCAAACTCCTGGGGTGGAGGAAGGCCCACTGGAGGTGGGGGTGGCACGGAGCTCCCAGGGTCTCCAGGGGAGCCTGCCTCTTGCATCAAGGGTGATCCAACAGCCATTTCACCAGGAGAAGCCTCCTGGGTGGATGGTGGAGATGAAGAAGATGGAGAATCCGGGTGGGAAGAAGAGGAGAGGAGTGGGTCTGGGGAGTTCAACAAGGGCTCAGAGAGGGACTTAGAGCTAATGAGGGCAGCTGGGTGGGGCAGCTGGACCAGAAGATCCCTTCTGGTGCCCATGTTATTCCTGAGTTGCTGAAGACCATCCAGACTGGCTTGTCTCAGAAGACGTCCCCCACCACCAGGCCCCTGGCTGGATGTGGATAAGTGGTCAACAGCATCTTCAAAAGCACTGCCTCCACCAGCAGGTCTCAACATATGTCTCTGACGTACTGGCCGTCTCTTATGGCCACCAAAGCCAGTGTCTGCTACTTGGCTGGGGGGTCCAACAAGCTCTACTTCATGTTCAGGAGGGTCAGGGGGCAGTGAACTCCAGGTGATCTCAAGCATTCGGAGTGCATCATCAAAGGCAAATTCACGCTTAAGCTCCAGCAGCAGCCAGCGGTAACAGAAAAAGAGGTCGTCAGCACCTGCTTCTTGCAGGTACTGGTAAAAGTCTGGGTCAGCATGTCTCAATAGTAGCTTGAGGTGGGCAAACTTGGTGGCCATGGCACGGCCATCAGGATGGAAGTTGGCAGCTAGACGCTTCATGATGCCACAAAAGCAGACAAAAGCATGGCCCTCATGGTCCATGACAGCAAGGATGGGTGAGGCCAGGTCACTCATGCCCTGGCAGTAGGACACCTGTGGATGGGTAACAGCATATGTAGTAAGAAGGTCATGAAGGGCCCGTAGGTGTGGGCCATCCTCAGGCCCTGCATAGTAGGGGTGGGCCCGGTCTGTTCGAAGCACATCTTTGAGGACTGTGCTACGGATGAATTCCAGGTCCTCGGTGTTCACTCGCTGGGCCCACTCGCTTTTGAGCTGCTCATACTCCCGACTTTTACGTTTCATGTAGTCCATCCGCTCACGGCCTGTCAGCCCATCTGGGTACACATTCAGCAGGTAGCGCCACACCACCTGGCCAGGTACAAAAGAAAAGGGATGAGACTGTTCTTACCATTGAGCTGCTAGAGTCATGTCAATTACTTAACACCTACCCTCTTTCCTGGGGGTTCTGTCCTCTTTGTGACAAGTCTGCCTTCCTGCCATTGACTCCTGAAACACAGCCTCCTGTCCTGGACCATCTCCATCCTACTCATGAGCTACCAATGACCACAAAGTAATGAGTGCAGTAAATGACTAAAGAGGCTCACCTTTCGTAGTGAAGGCTCCACACCGCCATGATAGATCCGCAGGCGCAATTCCTCAGGACGGGAGAGCTGGCCTTCATGGTTTAGGTATGTGTGAAACTCAGCATCACTCAGAGGTGGCTTGAAAGGCTTGACATCTTCTCCATATGACCAGCTAAGCACTTGCTGGACCTTAGACAAAGTACGGCCCACCTGGGAAGGAAGGAAGGAAGGAAGGAGGCCACTGGTCACCTGGGCAGGATAGGGGTAGATGCCAACCAGCAAGCTCTGGATTAGGGTTCCAGATAGGCCCTTCCTTCCACCCACAGCTGGAACTCCCAGTCTCCTGAAATCACCTGAAAGAGGATGGATTGTGTAAAAGGCAGAGCAGCTGTTGTCAGCGATGACCGTTTCTCAGCCAGTAGCACATCGGAACCAATGACATCCTTGGGGCTTATTATGTCCCAGTCTTCCAGTAATGGGCCTGAGCACATAAAGGAAAGCACTGTAAGAGCAGGGATGAGAACCCAGACCTCAGTGCTGAGTTTCTCTTCCAAAGCATGGCTACCTGAAGGGCAATGAACAACTACTACCACTTCCCCTATCATTCAAACAATGTAAAAAAAAGTCAGGCCGCTGAGCATGGTAGTGCATGCATTTAGTCCCAGCACTTGGGAGGCATAGGCAGGCAGATCTCTGTGAGTTTGAGGCCAGTCTGGTCTACCTAGGGAGTTCCAGGACAGCTGGGACTACAGGGAGACCCTGACTCAAAAAAAAAAAAAAATCAGCCCTGAGCAATTCTTTTGTTGGTATCTATTGCACAAAATGGCTGGGAAGTCTTTGATATTTTAATGATTTACATAATGTTATTGAGCACTTACTATGACATTATTGTAAAAAATAATACCCACTTAGCCTGGTGGTATAGGCCTGTAATCAGCTACTCTGGAGGCTGGGGCAGGAAAATAGAGAATTCAGGGCTTGAGCCAGATAGTGAGACTGTATCTCAAAAAAAATTGCCTTTTTTGAGACAGGGTCTCCCTGTAGCCCCTGGAACTCAGTATGTAGACCAGGCTGCCCTTGAATTCACAGAGAACTGCCTGCCTCTGCCTCCCAAGTGCTGGGATTAAAGGCGTGCACCACCACACACAGCTCAAAATTTTTTTAAAGTGAGGGCTGGTGAGATGGCTCAGTGGGTAAAAGCATTTGTAACCTGAAGTTGATTGCCGGCACTCACATGGTAGTTGTCCTCTGACCACAAGAACATTGTGATACACACACACACACACACACACACACACAAATGTGATAAAAATAAAGAATAAGTGTTTATAGTAGTCCCTAATTGATAGGATTAATGAGAATATTGAGTTAATATTTATAAGGGGCTTAAAGTAGTTCCTTTCATTTATTATGATGGGGTTATCAGCTAGTATTATTATTTGGGGGTCCTTTTTGTTAAGACAGGGTCTCCCAGGACCCCCAGCTGGCCTGGAACTCACTTTGTAGACCAGGCTGGCCTTGAACACACAGAGATCCTCCTGCCTTTGCCTCCCGAGTGCTGGGATTAAAGGCATGTACTACCACACCTGGCTGGCTTTTTGTGTGTGTGTGTGTGTGTGTGTGTGTGTGTTTTTTTGAGACAGGGTCTCCTTGTAGCCCCAGCTGTCCTGGAACTCACTATGTAGACCAGGCTGGCCTTGAACTCACAAAGGTCCACCTGCCTCTACCTTCCAAGTGCTGGGATTAAAGGCGTGCACCACCACGCCTGGCTTTTTTTTTTTTTCTTAAAGAAAATCTCTGTGTGTGTTTCTGGGGATCAAACTCAGGGCCTTAACTAGGCGTTTTCCTGTTGAACTACATCCCCAGGCCTTTTAAAAACTTTTTTTTTGAGAAAGGGTCTTATTAAATTACCCATGCAGGCACTGAACCTCCTTGTGCCTCAGCCTCCTGAGTAGCTGGGATTAAAGGCCTTACAGGTATGTGCCACCTCATTCTATCATTATTTTTGTTTGTAAAAGTATTTTATTTTTTATTTATTTATTTATTTATTTATTTATTTTTCTCTTTTTTGAGACAGGGTCTCCCTGTAGCCCCAGCTGTCCTGGAACTCACTATGTAGACCAGGCAGGCCTTGAACTCACAGAGATCTACCTGCCTCTGCCTCCTGAGTGCTGGGATTAAAGGCATGCATTGCCACGCCCAGCCCTGTAAAAGTATTTTAAAAACTTTTTTATTGATTTTTTTTCTTCTTGGTCTTTTTGAGACAGGGTCTCCCTGTAGTCCCAGCTGGCCTCCAACTTGCTATGTAAACCAGGCTGGCCTTGAACTTACAGAGATCCACCTGCCTCTGCCTCCCAGGTACTGGGATTAAAGGTATGCACCACCACACCTGGCCTGATTTATTTATTTTTATTTTATGTGTATGAGTGTTATGCCTGCATGTATGTTAAGTGCACCCCTGTTGTGCAGTGCGTTGGAAGAGAAGAGACAGAAGAGGGTGTTGGATGCCCTGGAACTGGAGTTATGAACTGTGCTGGATAGCTTTAGTGTCAACTTGACACACCTGGGTTGAGGGAGCCTCAATCGGGAAATTGCCTCTATTGGATTGGCCTGTGGCCATGTCTGAGGGGCATCTTCTTGATAAGTGATGTGGGAGGGCCCAGCCCACTGTGGGTGGTGCCATCCTTGGGCAGGTGGGCCTGTGTTGCATAAGAAAGCAGGCTGAGCAGGGGCCAGGGGAGCAAGCTTGTAAGCAGCGTTCCTCCATGGCCTGTGCTCCAGCTCCTGCCTCCAGGTTCCTGCCCTGAGTTCCTACCTTGGGCTCCCTGATGAACTGTGACCTGGGAGTTGTAAGACAAATAAACCCTTTCCTCCCCAAGTTGGTACTGGTCAGAGTGTTTTGTCACAGCAATGGAGAAACAAACTAAGACATGGACTATTGTTACCTGCCATGTGGGTGCTGGGATGTGAACTTGGGTCTTCTGCAACAGCCAGTGCTCTTAACCACTGAGCCATCTCTCCAGCCTCATTTATTGTTATTTATTTAATTTTTTTGGTCTTTTTGAGACAGGGTCTCCCTGTAGCCCCAGCTGTCCTGGAACTCACTATGTAGACCAGGCTGGCCTTGAACTAACAGAGATCCACCTGCTTCTGCCTCCCAAATGCTGGGATTAAAGGCGTGCACCACCAGGCCTCTTTATCGTTATTTTTATATGAAGGAACAGGTCCTTATGGCTAGTGTATGAAAGAACTGGAATGTGAAGCCCAGGCCCAAATCTGAGAGCCTATACTCTGATCTTACATTCATGATATTTCTCCCCACCACAGTGATAGATGATGACATTATCATTCTCATTTTACAGAAGATGACCAAAAAGGTTTGGAAGAAGTAGTAAGTGACCAAGATTCTACAGCTAGGAAATAGTAGAGCTGAGATCATAGCTTCATGTACCTTACTCCAGAACCTAGACATATTTTCAAGAAAATATTAATGGACAGGTATGTTGTATACATTAGATAAAAGAAACCATGCTATGCTTGACCTTACCCAGTTTTGGCCTGTGAAACATCAGAAGTTTCTTCCTTCTCTATGTTTTCCTCCCATCCTTTTATTTTCTTTTGTTTACGATAGTTTCTTTTCCTCTTTTTTTTTTGAGACAGGGTCTCCCTGTAGCCCCAGCTGTCCTAGAATTCACTATGTAAACCAGGCTGGCCTTGAACTCACAGAGATCTGCCTGCCTCTGCTTCCCAAGTGCTGGGACTAAAGGCCTGCGCCACCACGCCCAGCTCTCTTTTCCTTTTTAAAAAAAATATTTTGTTCATTTTATTTTATGTGTATGTATTGCCTGCATGTATGTGAGTGTACCCATGTCGTGCAATGCGGCGGAGGTCAGAAGAGGGCTTTGGATTGCCCTGGAACTGGAGTTAAGGACAGTTCGTAGCCGCCATGTGGGTGCTGGGAATTGAACCTGGGTCCTCTGCAAGAGCAGTCAGTGCTCTTAACTCTTGAGCCATCTCTCCAGCCCCAGTTTCTTTTCGTTTTTAAAATTAAGTTTTCTAGCTGGGTGTGGTGGTGTACACCTTTAATCCCAGCACCTAGGAGGCAGAGGCAGGTGGATCTCTGAGAGATTGAGGCCAGCCTGGTCTACATAGTGAGTTCCAGGGCAGCTGGGAGACCCTGCTCAAAAAGACCAAAAAAAAAGGGGGGGGGAGGGGTGGCATTCTACCATAGACCTACACTCCTGGTCTGTTTAAATTTGAGAATTTAATTTTGAGGCAGGGTTTTGCTCTAGCCCAGGCTGACCTGGAACTTAGTCTGGAGCTCAGACTGGCCTCAAGCTCACAGTGATCCTCAGTATATGGGATCTAGAAGCAGGCAGATATCTGACTTTGAGGCCATCCTAGTCTACATAGCGAGTTCCAGGCCAGCCAGGGCTAACCAGTAAAACACAAGTAGCAGCAAACGTTTATTTATATTAGCATCATCACAAACTCATGAGTAATGTGTTGTGTTTGTTTTTTTTTATCTTTTTGAGACAGGGTCTCCCTATATAGCCCCAGCTGTCCTGGAACTCACTATGTAGACCAGGCTGGCCTTGAACTCACAGAGATCCGCCTTCCTCTGCCTCCCAAGTGCTGGGATTAAAGGCGTGTGCCACCATGTCTGGCCAAAACAAATTTTTTTATTCATTAGTTTTATGTGTCTAAGTGTTTTGCCTGAATGTATATAAGTGCACCACATGCATGCAGTGCCCTGCAGAGGCCAGAAGATGGTACACAAACATGGACTCAGACATACACATATACATAAAATAAAATTTAAAAAGGCCAGGCATGGTGGCACGTGCCTTTAATCCCAGAGGCAGAGGCAGGTAGATCTCTGTGGGTTCAAGGCCAGCCTGGTCTATATAGTGAGTTCCAAGTCAGCCACTTCTATGTAGTGAGACCCAGCTCAAAAAACAAAACAAAACAAAACAAAAACAAAAACAAAAAAGCTGTGCATGGTGGTGCACACCTTTAATCCCAGTACTCTAGAGGCAGAGGCAGGCAGACCTCTGTGAGATGAAGCCAGGCTGGTTTACATATGGAGTTCCAGGCCAGCTGGGTGGCGCTACAGGGAGACCTTGTCTCAAAAAAAAATTAAAATCTGACCAGGCATGATGGTGCATGCCTTTAATTCCAGCACTTAGGAGGCTGGGGCTGGACATCGAGTAGCGAGTTTTTTCTAAAAAAAAAAAAATTTAAATCTGACCAGGCATGATGGTGCATGCCTTTAATTCCAGCACTTAGGAGGCAGAGGCAGATGGATCTCTGTGAGTTGGAGGCCAATCTGTGAGTTGGAGGGCAGTACTACATAGACCCTGTCTCATAAAACAAAAACCAAAAACAAACAAGAGTACCTTTTTTTTGGTCTTTTTTTGAGGTACGGTCTCCCTGTAGTCCCAGCTGACCTGGAACTCAATATGTAGACCAGGATGTCACTAAGTGCTGGGATCAAAGGCGTGTGCTACCACGCCTGGCAAAAAAAGAGTACTTTTATCTATTAGTCCACAGTAAATTTTCTGGGATCATGTCTTAAGTTTACCTCTGTGTTTGACAGGGACAAGCATGGGTAAAAGTAGGAAGAAAAATAAAAGAAGTAGCTGTAAGATCAGAATAAATACCTGAACAAGAGTGCAAACAAATGGATGAATGAATAAATACAACTACTAGGGTTGGGGATATAGCTCAGCTGAAAGAGTGCTTACCTATCATGCCTGAAGCCAAGGTTCAATCCCCAGCACCATAGAAACTGGGTATGGTAATACACTTTTGTAATCCCAGTACTCAGGTGGAGGCAAGAAGATCTGAAGTTCAAGGTCATTCCAGGCTACATAGGAGCTCAAGATCAGTCTGGGCTAGAGAACTTGTGTCAATATAAACAAAAAAAAATTATGAGCAGGCTGCAGGAGGGCTCAGTGGGGAAAAGCACTTCCCTTGCTAGCCTGACAACCTGTTTGATCCACAGAATCCACGTAAAGGTAGAAGAGAACTGGCTCCAGAATGTTGTCCTCTGGCCTCCACATGCTTTAAGTGGCACATGCACATGTACGCACGCCACATACACACACACATCACTCACCCACCCCTGCACACTGTAATAAGAAGAAATTTAAAAATACTATGTCTGGCTGGGCGTGGTGGCGCACGCCTTTAATCCCAGCACTCTCTGTGAGTTCGAGGCCAGCCTGGTCTCCATAGTGAAACCAGGACAGCTGGGACTACAGAGAGACCGTCTCAAAAAGAACAACAACAACAAAATACTATCACCATTACTATTATAATGTTTTTTGGTTTTTAAAATTTTATTTATTTTATTTCATGTGTATGAGTGTTTTGCCTGCATGTATATAAGTGCACCTATGTCACGCAGTACTCGCAGAGGCCAGGAGACGGCATCAGATCCCCTGGAACTGGAGCTATGGACAGCTGTTAGCCACCATGTGGGTGCTGGGAAGCAAACCTTCTGCCAAAGTAGACGGTACTCTTAACTGCTAAGCTAGCTCTCCAGCCCCCTTTTGTTTTTTTTGAGACAGGATCTCCTTAGAGCTCCAGCTGGCCTAGAACTCCCTATGTAGACCAGGATGGCATTGATCTCATGGAGATCAGCCTGCCTTTGACTCTCTGATGCTGGGATTTAAAGATGTGTGCCATTATGCCAGGTTCATAATGAACTTTTTTTTTCTTTTTTTTGGCTATACTGGGGATTGAACACAGGCTAGGCAAACACTCTCTCAGCACTTGGGAGGCAAAAGCAGGTAGATCTCTGAGTTCCAGGCCAGCCTGGTCTACATAGAGTTCCAGGCCAGAGTTCCCTGTCTCAAAGAGACAAAAAAACAAACAAGCAAGCCAAAAAATGTCTTTATTGAGTCCTCATAATATTATTCTTGTAAGACACTATCGTCACTATTTGAAAATTGAAGAAAATGAGGCCAAGCAGGCAAGATAGTTCAGCAAGTAAAAGCCTGATCACCTGAGTTCAATCCATGAAACCCATAGTAGAAGGAGAATGAACTGACTCCTGAAAACTTTCTCCACAGGTGGACTGAGGCACAAGTTCCCATACTTTCACACATCATACTCAACAGACACTAATAATATTTTTTAAAAGAAATTGAGGCCTTGTGGCCCACCAGAAATGTAGTGAGGAATAAAGTTACTACCCTATGGGGAAAAGGTGTACCTCAAAGCAGCGCCTTAGGGCACTGGGTACTCACTGTCCTCTGAGGGCCGAATGTCTACTCGTAACTGCAGGTAAGGTTTGGAGGCAGTGGCAAAAGCTGTGCTGAGGTCCCAATCAGAAAGGAGGGAGAGGAAAGTTTCCTGTCCTATCCGGTCCCGTGCCAGGTAGCTGATGCCAAAGTTCTTCCTGGACAGAGGATATGAAAGAATTCTAGGCTCTCCAGTTCCCCAGAAGCCTCAGGAACAGCTTATAAAACAAGGAAGGTAATATGGAAGGTATTGAAGACAACTTCTCACTATTTTAAAATCTGGAACTAAGCTAAGGATTGTAGGTAGCCTGAGGTCAGGTTGTTTATATCCACTTTGTCACACAAACACAGAAACAGATACACACCTGCTTATATCTGGAGAGCACATTGAAAACTGGCAAAATGTTGGTCCCCTCTGGGGATGGTAACAGTGTAGTTGAGGGAGAGAAGTGGGAAGAAAGCAGCCTTCTTACTACATAAAAAAATAAAGCAGTCTATATGTTTATTTTTCACAACAAAAATGTTTATGCCCAAAAGTCAAATACCAACTAAGAGTTATTTTTCAGATATACTGCTGTAATTATGCAAAATATGCTGTTTGCAATCACTGCAAACCATGGATGACTACCTATCAATTCTGTTTATTATCACAGTTATGTATTCCTCCAAAAGTACCACAACAAACTAACCATCACATCTTCCCCCCAAGAGACATCAACTTTCAGCTATCAGATTGGCAAATTTTGCAATGTCTTATAGTAACCATTGTTTGTGAGGGCATGAGAGAAACAAGCAATTTTTTATTTTCTTTTTTTTGAGACAATTTCACTATGTAGCCTAGGCTGTCCTTGATCCTCCCTCCTCGGCCTCCTGAGTACTAAGATTATAGGCATGCATCACCACACCTGGTGAAAGAAAAATTTATATGCTCCAGTGAAGCTGTATTGGTAAAACCTACCTGGAGACCCATTTTGGAAATGTCCATTGAAAGTATAAAACACACACCCTGTATGTAGCCCAGCAATCCACTGCTAATTTATCTTATGACTATATGTCTCTCAAACACTCCAAATATGATATACACATTTGGCTGTTCATTGTGAGATTATTTGAAAAACAAAACAAAAAAACCCAGACAATTGTTGAGGTGAGTAGCCCACTGCATCCTCCCACTCACCCATTCAAGTCAAAGGCTCTGATGAGGATGTGTTGTAACACGTCCAGTGAGGTGATCTGAGGGTCTACAGCAAAAGAGCGGAATTCAGGTGACAAGAAGCTCTCATATTTCTGGGAAGAGAAGACATGAAGTAGGCCATGAAGGGGCTAGGTCACCACGCTGAAGAGTGGGTGACTTGCAGAGCACTAGAAGGCAGGGTCAAAGAAGTGGCAGGGGCCAGATTTAGCAAAGAATTCTGGTTAGTTTTAAGTGAGGGGAAGCCACAGGCAGTTTCTGGGCCAAGAAGGGATGGATGTATCTTTAGAATTTGATCAGATCCTGTGTCTGCTCTGCAAGAAGACTGGTGGGGGTGCTGGAGAGATGACTCAGTGGCTAAGGGCACGGGCTACTCTTGCAGAGGATCTGGGTTCAATTCCCAGCACCCACATAGCAACCAACAACTGCTTCTAAGTCCAGTTCCATACATACATGCAGGCAATACATTCATAAAATAAAAAACATTTTTAAAAAAGACTGGTGGGAGCGAGCAGTCTAATGAGGAAAGAGCTACTGCAATAACCTAGATATTCAATCCTTTTAGAGTCCCTTAAATATGGTTTTCAGAATCACCATGTCCACCCAGACCACAATAAAATATCAGTCCTCTAACACTATAATCAATCTAGTAAATCTACCTATAACTCTGCTGCTTAAATCTCTTCAATGACACCCCCAGAGTCCTCAGCTAGCCCTCCTCACACAGATTTTTTGAACTTTGCATTCTAGTAGTACCAAGCTGTTGGAAATTACCTTGAACACATCCTGCCTCTAGGTCTCTGTGTGTGCTGATCCCCCTTGGTCTGGAGCACACTTCCCACTTCGTATGGCTCACAGCTCAGTATACTTTTTTTCCCCTTAATTCCCAAAGGTCTACTTTAGTAGTACACTAAAGTGATCTGTTGACCTTCTCATCCCTGCCAATGCCACCACCCCAGTCTGAGCCACCAGTCACACTGCTAGCTGGGATTACTGCAACAGAAAAACCTGTTCTTCCTCAACATGTACATCACAAGTGCCTCACCACTTGCCCTCCTCTTACCTTTCTGATTCATATGCTCCTCTAGCCCTTGGTTTTCCTGCCCCAATATGGGAACCTACAAGAACATACCGTTTTCACTTCCACCTCCCAGCCTTTGTGCTGTTTCTTCTATCTAGAACTCTTTCCCTCACCTGAAATACACATGACTAACCCCCCCCTTTTTTTTATTAGGGTCTCTGTGCCTCCAATCCTCTTTTGGTGATGTTCCTATACAACTCCCTGAACTTTTCATTATTTTCTCATGATACCAGTATTCAAACCATGTCATTTAACTGTTTTTGGACCCCATACAAGCATGTGGACTCAGGAGTGGGGACACACATGAAAGTGTACTGTCTGACAGCTAGGTGTTTATTTTTAAAAATATTTTATTTATTACTTTGTTTTTATTTTATGTGTATGAGTGTATTGCCTGTGTGTATGTGAGTGCACCCATGTCATGCAATGCTGCGGAGGTCAGAAGAGGGCTTTGGATTCCCCTGGAACTGGAGTTAAGGATGGTTCGTAGCCCCCATGTGGGTGTTGGGAATCGAACCCAGGTCCTCTGCAAGAGCAATCAGTGCTCTTAACCGCTGAGCCATCTCTCCAGCCCCTGACTTTATTTTTTAAACATATTTTACTTATTGTTTTTATTTTATGTGTATTGCCTGCATGTGTATTAGCGCACCCATGTCATGCAATGCCCAAGGAGAGGCGCGGCGGATCCCCTGGATATGGAGTTACAGACAGTTGTTAGCTGCCATGTGAGTGCTGGGAACTGAACCCGGGTCTTCTGAAAGAGTGCTCTTAACCACTGAGCCATCTCTACAGTCCCTAGACTCCCCTTTCAGACAGCAACAACTTTTCCGTCATTCCTCCATGTTCTAACGGCCCTTCCTCTAACCATACAGCCTGTCCCTCTACCCATAAGCTTCATGCATCCACTCTATGGGCTCCTACCCTTTTATTTCAGTCCCACACCGTAGGCTATCCCAAGACCCACGACTTCATTCCCCGCATCATTTAGCTCTCAAGCCTCGCCCCCACCAAACAACGCCCCAAATTTCAGGTCCCGCCCTCCATCGAATCGCAACCACCGCCTTTCAGTCTTCTGGGTGTCCAGGCAGCCTGGCCGAAGGGCCGCCAGCCTCACCTTGACGCGGACCCGTACCACCTCTCGCTCCTCCTCCTCAGCCGCGGCTGCCGCCTGGGCGCCCTCGCCCGCCAAGTCCAAGGCCGCGGAGGCTGTCGCCATCCCGTCGCTGAACGGTCTGTGTCTGGGTGACAGCTGCCCCCTATCCCAGCGCGAACCTTACGAACAGGCGCCCGCGGCCCCCACCTCGCAACAGGGCGCAGGCGCAGAGGGTACCGTGCGACCCTGCCACCACCACCCCCGCCCCGCCCACCTGGCCCTGGCTACGGGTCACCACTGCGCATGCGCCTAGTGCGCACTTGCGCCAGGTCCGGTGGCTCCGTTGTTTATGGAGTCTACTTCCGGACTCAAGGGCAGACTGCTAAACTGACACCTGTTCGAGAAAAAGGACAAGGAGGAAGCCCCTGTGTGACATTAACGCTCCACAACCTGCCGGGAGTTGCCATGTGCCTCTGATGACAGATGATGTCATGGGTTTCAAATATCTGAGGCCTTCCCTTCTAATGGTTCTGGTGAAGGGGAAAAAAACCCCTTATTCCAAAGTTTTGATTTTATTTTAAATTTTACTTTATTATTCTTTTAAAATCACGTGTATATGTGTGGTCTATGTGGGTTTGTGCATATGAGTTCCATACTGGAGTTACAGGCTGCTGTGAGTGGAAGACCAGCACTCACTCACTTTTAACCGCCTAGCCATCTCTCCAGCCCCATTTTTTAATTTTTATTTTCATTAGGATTTTTTTTTTGGTCTTTTTGAAACAGGGTCTCTCTGTAGCCCCAGCTGTCCTAGAGCTCACTATGTAGACCAGGCTGGCCTTGAACTCAGAGATCCGCCTGCCTCTGCCTCCTTAGTGCTGGGATTAAAGGCATGCGCCACCACACCCGGCCCCGTGGATTTTTAATTTTTTAATGTGTATGAATGTTTTGCCTACATATATGTAAGTGCACCCGTGCAATGCTCACGGAGGCTAGAAGAGGACATCACATCCCTTAAAAATAGAATTAGGCCCGGGTGTGGTGGCGCACACCTTTAATCTCAGCACTCGGGAGGCAGAGGCAGGCGGATGTTTGTGAGTTCGAGGCCAGCCTGGTCTACATAGCGAGTTCCAGAACAGCTGGGGCTACAAGGAGACCCTGTCTCAAAAAGACAGAAAAAAAAAAATGGAATTAGGGTCGGCTGTTAGCTACATGTGGGGGCAAGGAACCGAATCGGGATCCACTGCAAAAGCAGCTAGTACTCTTAACTGCCCAGCCATCTCTAGCCTCAATTTAGGATATTTTTTTCACAGTCTCACTAATTTCCTGGCCTTGGGGGGGCAGGGAAAATGGAGTGTGTGTGAGAGCTGGAACTTATCCCTACTAACCCCAGCCTCCAGAGAGCTGTGATTACAGTTCAGGTGCATGCCACTGTCAGTGTTCACCTTCTAGAGTCTTAATTTACACTTAGAACGGTATGTGTGAGTTTTAGTTTTTGAACCCGATATACTTCATTAGGTTATTATTATTACTATTACTATTGTCCTTTTGAGACAGAGTCTCCTATAGCCCCAGCTGGTCTGGAACTCCCTATGTAGACCAGGGTGGCCTTGAATTCACAAAGATCTGCCTGCCTCTACCTCTTAAGTGCTGAGATTAAAGATGTGTGCCACCACACCCCTCTGAAAAAATTATTTTGAGACAGGATCTCACTATGTAGCTCTTGTAGGTTTGGGACTCTGTATAGATCAGGCTGCCCTCAAACTCAGAGATCCATCTGCCTTTGCCTCTGGAGTATTGGGATTAAAGGCATGTACCACCACGACCAGCAGAAAAAAATTAAAATCCATTTTTATTGTATTTTATTTATTATGCTTGTGTGTGTGTGTGTGTGTGTGTGTATGTGTGTGTGCCATGGCATGTATCTAGAAGTCAGAGGATAACTTGGGGGAGTTGGTTCACTTCCATTTTTTTTTTTTGCCTTTTCGAGACAGGGTCTCCTTGTAGCCCCAGCTGTCCTGGAACTCACTATGTAGACCAGGCTGGCCTCGAACTCACAAAGATCCACCTGTCTCTGCCTCCCAAGTGCTGGGATTAAAGGCGTGCACCACCACGTCCGGCTCATTTTCCATTTTTTATAAAGTATATTTTGCTCTTTTGAGAACAAAAATTTTAATTATTTTATTTTAAATTATGTTGCCCCACCACACCCAGCACTGAGAAAATTTTTGTAAACTGAAAAAATATATTACCCACATTTCACTACATAACATCCATGTCATTTGGACAAAATACAGGCTGATCTTGAAATCTTCTTTCTTTTCTTTTCTTTTTTTCTTTTTTTCTTTTTTTTGTTTTT